TCATTGGTACCAATATGCCTGTGTCTACACGGGCAGGAGGGCCTTTGGGTGGGGCAACTTCCTTAAAGGATCTATTTAAGTGATAAGTACCATGTGGACACTCTCATTACCGCCCTGTCTACTTTCAGCTTCTTTTCTTGCCCCCTCCCCTGCTCCCACCCTCCTCTCCCTCTCCCTAGGCACCTGATACTCTAGCCACATTTTATCTGGTATATTTCCATGCCTCCACCTCTTTGCAGGTTCCTCAACCCAGGATACTTTTCTTCACCCATAAGCGTTCCTGACGGTCATACTTGGTGAAGCTCAGCTAGGAACACTGTAGGGATGAGATGGGAACAGGACTAGCAACGTCAGTACAGGTGCAGGCTGGGAAAGCTAGCTTCAGGACCACACACCGATTCGTATTGAGGTGGATGGGTGGGTGGTGGTGCAACTGACCAAGAGCTTTAGGAGCCCCTAGGTGGGTGCAAATGGTGGCACTGGACTGCTAAGCAAACAGGTGTCACTTCACACCTACCCAGAAGGCAGGCTTCCCCCAAAGCGACAGCCTTGAAACCCTGATGGGGCAGTCTCCTCTCCATACGTAGGGTCTCCATGAGTCAGAGTCAGCTCAACAGCCGCTGACAACAACGGGAAGGACCTCTCAAGGTCCTCAAGTTGGTCCTGGGCAGAATGGACCCCGAGGCGAGACACAGCCTGACAGCCACGGCATGAAGGCTTCTCGGCTGAGGCTCAGCTCCTTCCCGATCATCTCCTAGCCATCAAGTCTATCCCCTTTCCTAGTGTCCCTAGAGGCCAGGGTAGAACTGCCCTTTGGGGGTTCTGAGACTTCGAATCTTTATGGGAGTAGACAGCTTCGTGTTTCTTCTGTGGATCGGCCGGTGGGTTCTAACTGCTGACCTTGTGTTTCCCAGCTCAGTGGGTAGCCCACTACGCTACCAGGGATCCTTCAGGCAGAAGCAGATCTCTGTACACAGGGTGATTCTGGTGGTCCTATTGGTTATGAGGAAGACCAGAAATAAAACAGAAGGAGAGAGATCCAAAGAAGAGGTCTTGGCACTCAATTTGACTTAGGGGGCAGCGCCAGGCACTAGAGATACGGTGAGGGGAGGGTTTTCAGATGACCTTATGTGACCTTATGCTCAGCTAAGGCATCAGGGACTTTATGGCAGGCAAGTTCCAAGTGCTCATTTGCGGGCATCAGGCAGTAGTCAGTATGAGCTCTTCCACGCTGGCCCTTGATGGTTCTGAGCAGGATCTCCCAAGTGGGAGGCACAGCTTCCAGGGGGTGCATGAGGATCCCGTTGGATGTGAGAGGAGAACATTCTAACTTTTATCTCTTTATATTCAAATCGTATCCTTTTCTAGTTTGTATGGTTCAGAATATCCATTGGTATGCATAATGGTTCCAGTAGCCAGTCCCTGAAGAGTGGACAGCCTGTGCCTTCTTGGTCTCACACACTTTGACATGTTATCAAGAGAGGTCAGTCCCCAGAAATGAATATCATGCTTGGTAAGGTGGTGAGTCAGCAAAAAAAAGAAGTGGGAGGGGGCACAGAGACAAAGATGGATTGACGCAGTCCTGAGTCTCACCGGTGGCCTTTGTGTTGGCCAGAGCGGGGAGGGGAGCGGGGGCTTGAGCTGGGTAGTGGCCCACCAGATAGAGTGCTCTCCTATACAGGACAGGCCATCTTAGCCACCACCCGTCCCTCCCCCAAACCGGGACTGAGATTCAGGCACAGTCATGCAGAGTCTCACATTCAAACTAGTCTTGGGCACTGGAACAAGGACTACCTTCCACTATCCGACCCCAGACCCAGGGTCATACAGACCCACCCAGACCAAAAAAGTAGGTACACAGACAGGAAGTCTCAGACTGACCAAGCCCCGCCCCGCCACAGGGCCCTTAACTCCCAGCTGCTGCTTCCTGAGCCCTGGCCTCCGCGTGTCACCAGGGTTGCGCAGCTAGGACAGTGAGCCCGCCCGCAGGTGTATCACCTATCACCGTGAGCTGAGGAAACTGAAGGCCACCGTTGGCGGTCTCCGCAGGGGCTGCGGATTCAATTGCGGCTGTGTGGAGGTGCTAGTGACCGCCAGGGGACAGAGGGGACAGATTAGGCAAGGACCCCAAACTCGAGAGCACGAGCCTCAGCCAGCCCGTTTTGGGTGCCTGCACCCCAAATCTGGGTACGAGTGGAGCGGCAGGAAAGGCTCAGCCAGCCTTATATAGATTCGTTAACTCGAGTTTTTCTGCTGTTCCAGAAAGCAAGTTTCTTGCGGGGGCAGGTCGGGGGGAGGACGGGGGACACAGTGGGAGCCAGGGGAGCTCCTGGAATGGCAGCTCCTCTGGGTCTTTACAGCCTTAAGAGAGTTGGGGGAAATGGCATGTAGGTGTCTTTGGGAGGCTCCTCGAGGGCCCTGTCGGGAGTCAGAAACAGGGAGAAGACAAACCTGGAGCCATGGGGAGTGACATACAAAATTTTATTATTTATTATTATTATTATTTATTTATTATTTATTTCTCATGTGCACAGAAAAAAAAAAGAGAAAGAATCAAAACGAACTGACGCGCTGAACGTGGCCGAGGTGCCCAGAACCGGTGGAAACCCTTTGGAGGGTTCGGCCGGGTCCTGAGCGCAAGGTCCCTGGCATCGGCCTGGGCGCCGGCTCGTCCAGTAACCAGTCTCTTTCCTTTTCAAAGAAACAAAAAAAGCTCCAAGGGGAGAGAGGGCTGGGCGAGGACTCCAAGCCTTTTCGGATTTGTTCCAGGGGGGGCGGGTATTTATTTAATTTCTTTATTTTCACTTTTATTGACTTGGTTTCTGTTATTTCGAGTCGTCACGATCCACGGGTGAGGAGACATGCAGGGCGCATCGCCGCTACCGAGAGAGCAACTACGGGGCGGGGCGGAGGGGGTCCCCGGGCTGGCGCTGTCCCGGGCCGGGCGGGCGGGGACAGGGGAGGGACAGAGACACACCGCCAGACGGCAGAGAGCGGGAGAGACGTGGAGGGCGAGGATGGACAGGGCCGAGATGCAAGCGCGGGGAGATGCGAAGGACGGCGGGGAGGGGGGGGGGGGGGGGGGAGAACACGGAATGACAGACAGCAAGAGCCAACAAAGCCGAGGCGAGAGGAGTCCACAGGACCGTGTTCGTCATTTTGCATAGAGATTTTTCTTTCGTAATTTTTTTTTTGTAACATAAAAAATGCCCCCTCCCCCAGGACGTGCTGTGCTTCAGTGGGCGTGTAGCTGTGTCCCCCCCTCCCCCCAGCGAGCGGCGACTCTCACAGCACAGTCAGCGGGGCGTATCTACAGGCGGGGCC